AAGGACAATTTGGAGCTCATCTTTCATGAACCGCCTGCCGAGCTTCCTGACGACTTCGTGGTGTCGTACCTTGTGCTGAGCAAGAACGAGGAGGAGATAAAGAAGACCGCCAAGGGGCTCGACATCGGAACTCGCCTCTACTTTGTCCTCAACGGTCGAAACGATCACGGTATCGTAACTCGCTCTCAGCGCACCGACCACGAAGGAGGATGGGACGTCATGGTGCTGCGAAAAGGTTCTGCTGTTTACCCCCAGGTGCCCTTGGCTAGCCTGGTCGAATCTAGTTCGGAATGGGGACTCGTGCGTCCCAATCGCCCCGACGATCGGGAACGCGCCAAAGAACGTGCGCTGCGTTTCAGCGAAGAAAACTCCCCGCAGCTGTCGTGCGCCTGGACGAGCCAATTGTTTGCACTCTATTGTCAAACTGGCTTCTACGCCAGTCTTGATGCGCTTGCTGATAGAGGTGCTGAACTATGAAGCTCTCTCTGCACTTCACCAGCCCCAAACCTGGTTGTGGTTATGTGGACCCACCCCGACTTACTTGCAGTTATTTGCTCCATGGGGCGTTGGGTTTGTGTGCGTTGACGACCCAAAAATCACTTTTGCCGGCGGACGAGAATCGGACCCACGGTACGCGCGGTTTATACCGCGGCAAAGTAAAACAAGTCGCGTTTATTCGATAAAAATGAGGTAAAAAAGATTGGCCGCAGGCTCTAAGCTGAGTCTCGTGCGTGTGCAGTGGGTTGGAGGCACACTAGCAGAGCACTGACGTTTCCAAATACTCACACTTGACGTTGGCCGAAAGGCGATGAGCAACCGTCACAAAGGATGGCTTGTCAGGAATGCGGCCTCCGTAAGCGACGAGCTCATATGCAAAACCACTCAGAAATTGCCCTATGAGTTGATCGGCGTCGATGTCGGGTGTCGTAGCAAGCGCGCGTGCGGCGACTCGCGCCACCTCGATGGAGACGGCACGCCGAACGGTGAAATGACCGGCGCCCCCTGGATCTCTGACGTATCGCGCCAAGTGGTAATTCCACATGGCTAGCCCGATGTTGCAAATCCGCTCTGCGAGCTCCGCTTCGTCGGCATCTTTGCCGCACTGCTGGTACCACAAGTCGAATGCGAGCTTGAGGTGGTAGGGTGAGCGGAGCAAATGGTCACTTTTGCTATCGCCTGTCGTCGCCTGTGCTGTCGGCGGCGCTGTAGATGTGGACGACGTCGATACGGTAGCCATGTGGTTGGTGTGTGTCTTCTGGTAAAATACACTTGGACAGCTTCCGTCCCGCTTTTTTATTTAGTCAAGCCGCGCACCATTTACCAAAAAAAGAAATTGCAGTGTGCAAGTTTTATCGTTGACCGAAGACGCTACTGCTGAGTAAAACTCCCAAAAAAAAGGAAAAAAAGCGAGTTGGCCATGGGGGCAGTAGGCACATGAGCAGCCCAGTTTTTATCATTTAAAATACAATCACACTACTCACGTTCCTGACACCAAGCAACGATATACAGTATGGCGGAAATTTTTAGATTTCGTCCCGGCGGCTGGCTGCGGCCTGCTCGGGGGTGCTCTTGTCGGCTCAACTGTCGCAGCTTTACGACGCCTCGTTCCCTACCGCTACTCGCTGCCGATTACCGCAGCATTGCCTTGCATGAGCGCGGCGGCAGCAGCATACGACCTAAAGTATAACGGTTTCCGTTTCAATCCCTACAGCAACCGCCTGGAGCCCTCTGAAAAGACCATCATTGCCACCATGGTGGGCGGTTATGCTGTATCATGTCTGGCCATCCTCGGGCTGTCGTTTGTATGGAGGCCTGCCCTACGGTCGGCTCGGCAATCGTACGCTGCAACAGCTCATCACACACGGGGGCGGACTCGCCAGAAACCGCCGCCTTAGTTAGAACTTATATTTTTTGGACACACGCACATACAACTTGGTCAGCGCGGGACAAGGCTGACGTTCCTAGCTGTTCGGTATACTCGGCGCGCGCCACGTTTGCTCTCAAAACTGGGCAATGCCGCCGTGCGCCCAAAAATGACGTGAATGCGCTGTTTTCAAAGTCCAACGGCGCCATACGGCAACACAAAGGAGAGCGAAACCGAGGACGAAATCGCTCATCATCGGTGGTTGATACCGGCCATGCGGTTCCACCTACTTTTGCGCGACAAGCGTTAGGCTATTCTCTTCGGACCTCTTGTCGGCCTGCGGCCGCACGGTCAGCGACGGGCATTCGCTCCTCTGTGGTCTGTACTTTGGCCAGAACACTAATACCGTAGCGCTCAACAAACACAATACACCCTTTGGTTTCAGCCAATGCCTGCCGAGCAAGCAATTGCTCGTCTTGCATCTCTTTAGCCGCGCTTGCCGTACTGCCAGCAGACGCCATGGCGAACAAGTGAGACGGGCCACTAATTTGGCGCTGCTTGTTGCCTCAAATAAGAACACATTGCTGGTGTCCATACAAGACCAATACTGGCAACCGAGCGGCCACGGCAAGACGCGCCAAGCACAACCGGCACGGCTGCCCTTCGCCTGTCGCCGGCCAACGCACCGTTGAATCTCGCGCTTGGCATTGCCGTCGCCACATCTGTAGTGCGCTGTGTAGAGGATTTGTGAGCACCACCAACCTTTGGTCATGGCTGTGTTGCGAACAAGCCGGTACTCGGGACTCGAAAGCGGGCGTGCACCTTTGCCCTTGCTCCACGCCGCCAAACGCCACGTAATCGACGACATCGAGCGTGACCACGACACCAACACAATACCTCGACCACGTTCACACTTGCGACCCGCTCCTCCTCGCGCCGACGGCGATGCTCGCACTCGCATGCCGCCAGCATGTTTTGTTGTCGCTGTTTGTGGCTGCCACAGCGCCAAAAGCAGCCCCAACGCGAGTACGGAACTTGGCGCTGGTTGACCGTGCTCACTGCTGGAGACACGCGCTCGCGCGCAAAAGTGGCTGACGCAGTAGATGTTGGGAGCACGGTTTTAGCGCCAGCCTCAGCAATGAGCACCGCCAACGTAGAGCGCCTTCTAAAATAAACACATCGCCAAACGCCAGCACTACGCGTGGCATCTCGCCCAGCCTGTCCTCGCGTTGCTGTCCCTAGCACCGCCGCCGCCTCCGTTACCCGCTTGTATGGCGTCGCTTGTTGGGCGCGCGAGCTCAACATGCCGTGCCCAGCGACGATATGCAGTGGTGGCTCGTCGTCATCGCCAACAGGTCTGCGCTAGCGAGGGCGAGCCACCAAGCCGACAACGTTTTACATCGGGTTAAAATATTGCGTAGAGCCAAGTCAAAGTGCTGCGCCACAGTTTTGCGTCGAGCCACAGTTTGTGTGTCAAGCCAAAATTTGCAACGACTGACCCAACAGAGGGGTGCCATCAAGCACTCGCCGCGGCTTAGCCAGCGCAGCTTACTCGATCGCGCACACCACGCGCGACCGACCTCGTGCGGCATATACTCGACACTGCCTGCTTGGTGCAGTGTCGTCACCGTTGTTTACTCTGAGTGATGTAATTGACGAGGCATACTCGGTGCCGCGCCGTCAACTTGGCGTCCTCGATGAGTCGCATGGGTTGGCTCGGCCTTGCATGTGTACGGTGGTGGTATGGTGCCGCACAGCGAGCCGAGTTTGGCGAGTCTGCATAGTTTATGATCGCCTTCGCCGCTCGACTTTCTCGCGTGCGCGCTCATCATCATGCCGATGCAAGGTCAGCATACTCGCGACGCTCGTACTCGCCCAAACTGTTTTGACCAGGTTATTCGGCGCTCGCAATTTCACGCTGCCGCGGCAATGCGGCGCACCTATAGCGCGCGCCCGCATAGGCTGCCGCGATGGTAGCATACTCACGAAGTGTGTGCTCGTTTATGCTACCACGACGAAGTTATTTGGCGTACTCGCAATGCTCGTCCGCGGCGAAATGCTGTTATGCACACTTCATGGCCTGGTCAGCGCAGCCAACATTGTTGCATTCCGTGCACTGCCTGCTTGGCTCATCGTGCCCGGTATCATACTTAACGCAGCTCGGACGGCGCATAGTCAGTAGCATGTGACATGTGACTACGCACGTCGTCAGAAGAACAAGTTGGGGGTCTAGGCCAAAACTCGACGGCACATCCCCACAACTGAGCTTCGTCGTTCGTACTCACGCTATGGTGAGACCCGACGACATGGTCCAGCACGACTGCCGATACCCGATAGCGTGAACATAGCGTGGCATATCTTGTGGTGCAGTGCGGTGGTGGAGACTTGTCAGCGTGCCGCAACAAGAAACAGCGGCCAAGACCCAGCAGCATAGCGATGCCCCGTAGCGCGGGAGGGTGCGGGTTATAGACACGGAAGAGAAAAAAGAAAAAAAGAAAAAAACAGACCAGATGATTTTCGGCATTTTTTTACGACATGCTTTCTTTTCGTATTTCTCGGTGTGCCCAAAATGGGGGGGGGGCTGGATGGTCGCTGACGGTCGGTCGGTCAGGTCGAGCGCCAAGGTCTCGTGAGTTTGGTCGGCGACCCTGGTTCAACTTGCTTCAGACATTGACACGCAAGTGCAAGATGATGTTGGACACACGGAGGACAAAGTGTGAGGAGAGGTCTCACCCAAGCAAAACGCCAAACGCAACTCGGGTCGCTGACCACCAACGCTCGCCCACCCGTCCTAATGCCAGTAGAGGAGATGACTACGAGATGCGCACACAGCGACCGTCGTGTCGGAATCGAAATGTCATCGGAGTTGACCTGTTGGCGAGTAGCGAGGAAAAACCTGGTTGTGTGAATATGATTGGCCGATCTGCTTTCTTGAGTTTACCTAAAAAAGGCAAGATACAGTCGACAGGCGCGATTGGAGGAACCGGGACTTGGACATGACGGCAAGACTGAGCAGAGGCGAGCCAGTGCAACGCGCAAGCTTAACCTTGCCAGCGCGGCAGCGATCGCAGCACGACGGCCGGTTCAAACGAGCGAGCCGATGAGAGGACGCCTCACGCGCCCAACGATGACACTCTGACCGCGTGCGCAGTGTTGTATATCTCCAAAACATGGGCCAGCGCTTCGGCCGCGGCATCCAAAGAGTCTTGTCCCTGCGCGGTACTGGCGACTGCCGCACGCACTACCTCTAGGTCGTGGCGTGCGAGATCATGCTCGGGCAGGAGCTCTAGGATCGGGCGGCCGATGTGTTTCCCACACTTTCGATCACACGGGCTACCGTGGGCGGCAAGAAAGGCGTACGCGGCCGCGTCATCAGAATAGATTCCGTCAAACTCGTGTTCTTGCGGCACTTGCGAGGCCAAAAATGGAGCCGCCCAGTTGGTGGGCGGGTAGGGCAAGCGCATGGCCGGTTCGTCGGGAGTGTATCCCGCATCGAGGAGCGCCTGGATAACATCAAATGCCCTGTCCACGGCAGAGTCGGACAGTTCCATGGGATTGTCTGGAGCATGTCGGGCGGCCGCCACATACGTCAGCGAGTTGCGGGCGACGGTGGGCGGATTGGCATCCCAATGGTCGAGGACACGGCTCCTTGGGGCGTGAGAGAGGAGAGCCTGGAGGGTCGGGATGAGCCTGGGACTGAAAGGTTCGAGCGCAAACCAAAACGGTTCCCTCGTTGCAGGATTCGCGCGCTCGATCGTGTCCACGAGCATTCCGTTAACAATGGTCTCAGTGGTCGGCCATGGAGCAAAGCGCGCTCGTGCCAATGCCGCCACGAGATCGGGGCTGCCAACCAGAGTCGCGTTGGTGGTCATTGTTGGTGGTCATTGGCGGCGGCGGCCTCGCGAGAAGGTCCATCCGCCAGCCTAATTCACGCCCTGACCCCACGTTGGGCGCTTTGTGCGGCAGCGGCATGATAATGGGGTGGTTGAGGCGACAGAGCGCCTCGGCCGTCGTCTGTATACCCGCGGGAGAAAGCCGTCGGAATACCTAGTCCTGATCAAAGAACCTATCGACCTCCTTGAGGTGCTGGGCAAAATCGGCGGCTGCCCACACGCGCTCATCATCGTCAAGCCGCTGCTTGGGGGTGCGTGCTGCCAGCCATTGCGCGTAGAGATTGGCTAGGGCAGGCTGCTGCGTACCACCACCGCGAATGGGGTTGTCCATGGCATCAGCGATCGTGACCCCTCTGATGGTGCCGCCCTCGGCGACATAGTACGCCACCTCAGCGGGCGAGTACCCCGCACCGAGCAGAATGCGGGCGACGCGCAAGCCTAGCGCAATGTCGCGCTCGACGACGTCCCGCCTTCGTCTGTTGAGCATCCGACTGTTTTCGTCGAGTGCCGTGCCCAGGGCGAGAAGCGGGTTCGTTGCCGTCATCGGTAAGTACGCGGACCGGGGGAAATAGGCCAAGATCAGCGCTATGACTGCCGACAGTTCGCCCTCCTGTCGACGACCGAGCCTGGATTGTCCTCGCTCCAACAGGCGGGCACGAACGTGATCCTCACGATGTCGGCTGGCCTCGAACCGATAGCCGCCGTCAGCAGTGTATCTGGGTAGGGCCACGGTTGAGCGTCGGCTGCGATTAGCGTATTGACGCTATGGAGCGCGAGCGCCGCCGCCGTTTGTTCCAGCAGCGTCGTGTACCGATAGGGAGGACTAAAACGGTCCTCGCCATACGTCGGCACTGCACGGGAAACGTACACGCGCGTGTCGGCGAGTCTCTGTATGGTTGGCATGAAAAATGGCTTGTTGACGTCTATCATGCCGGTAGACAGGATTTGATCGAGCGCCGTAGCGTCGTCCATGGCGATGGCGCGCAATGCCGCCATCATACAAGACTCGTAGCGGTCGCAAACAAGGGCTGCACCCGTCGCGCTGACCTTGATATCGCCGTCGTTTTGAGTTGCGTGCTCCATTTGGGGTTGGTTAATTTGGCAACCGAGAAGCGTAGCGCAAACAATACGCCCCTGCCTGTAAATGGGCGCATTGTTCGAGAAGCCACCCGAGAAATTTTGCCACGGCGGCGAGAGCAAGACTAATGAGGGAAAACAGCTTTTGTTTTGGGATCATGGCTGGACAAGTCCTCACAATAATCCGAGAGCAATGCCCAGTTCTCCTGGCATATTGGCGTCTCTTGCTCTTCGTTTCTGTACGACGTCGCGCTCTGTGGAAGTTGATCACCTACTTTATGCGGGCGGCGCCGCTGGTCGGCGCTACCTTGGCACGCCCCGCACTCACGGTGCCGCTTGCCGTGTTTGGTCGTGATCCAAGCGTTCTCGGGTTGCACTTCTGTGCGTTTCACAGGACTTACGGCGGTGTTCAAGGCCACTGTATTTCGGGGTCAATTCTTCTTTTAATAACAACCCGACCAAGTCGATTACAGCTTGTCGAGCCTGAGCGCCCTCATGTCGATCTCGACGCAGCGGGTCTTGTTGCCGCGCCGCACATCCACCATGTAGGCACCCCTGCCGTAGGACATGGACTCGATCAGGCCGAGCAGCTTTGTCAGCTTATCCTTGCCACCGAATGAGCGCGCGATATCTGGGGGCGGCGTCGGTAGGTTGCACTCGACGTCGACGGTGCGATTGCCATCCATCCACCACTGGAACGTCGGCTTCAATGGTCCTAGAAGTCCGTCGGTGCCAAGGATTGCCGTCTGTATGTGGATTTCGAGGTCTTCGTGCTCGATGACGTCCTCGTCGCCGGCGCCTTGTCCGACCGGCTGGGCTTCGCCCACATTTTTGTAGATCACGCTCAGGCGGAAGCGCGCGCGAGTCGTACTTTCCTCGACCATGTGAAACAGCGGCGGACGCGGCTTATAGGCGCGCAACAGATCAAGCAACACATCGCCGTGGCATCCCGCGGGCTTGCACCAGCAGCCCATCACCTTGCCCTCCAGCTCGGGCAGGCTGTGGTAGAGGCGCTCGCTGCGCAGCACGTGTTGGCGGTATCGCGCGAGGTTGGCCGCACGCTGCTCATCTGTCGCGTCGCGTGGTAGAAACTCAGGGTTGGCCCACTTGCTCGCTGCCAGGTCCCACCCGCCTCGCCTGCACTCGCGGCCGATGTAGACGTCGCATCCCTGGATCAGACGCCCGCTGGAGCGCTTGAGGCACACGACGCGCGCATGTGCACGGGGCCGCTTGGTCACGCCGCCACTATCGGGCGTGTTGCTTTCGCCACTATCGGGCGCGTTGACGTCGGGGTAGCTGGTCTTGCGCTTGAGAGAAGCTTCCGTGTGCATGTGTGTCTCACGTCCTTGGAGATAAACAAGTTTGTGCGTTGTTGTCGCTCCGAGTCCATCGCAGCTGTGCACCATCCGCAAGTGTATGCGTGCACGCGCGACCGAGTGCACTAGCGTAAAAAGGCTCCGGCGATGGGGACATAACGCTAGCCAGCGACGCCTACATGAAAAACGAGCTAAAGTGCAGTCAGTAGCCCTTTTCCAGCAAGGCGCATGCCGGCGCCATCGCCTGGCGCAATGGGGTACTGTTGTGGCAGCGTGCCCAAATGGCTGCGATGCTGCACAAGAGGCCCACAACAAGATTCATCGGACTGAAGTGCTGTCACACAACACTCGCCTCTCTGACAAAGCACGCGGTCAGCACGTAAAACTCGATCGTGTTCTAGCCGAGAGAACCGACACCAGCCGTTTGACCCCAAAAACTTATAGAGACACGTGCCAATAACGTACAGCCCGCGCGGATGGTAATAGCGGGCCACGTGCGCTTGTGCGTCAGAGGCCTCATAGGTGTGCTCATGCGTGTGTTGCTCCCATGACATGCGTCCACGAGAACGGCTATGCCACCGGCGAGAACACGTTCGAATCGGCCTACTGTCCCAGCGGTGTCGCCCGCGTATGAAGTCACTGTCCAAGCGCGCTGCGTGGGCTGGTTCGGTCGACACATTGGAATGGGTTGACGCCGTATGGCCGGGGTCGGCGGGCGACGACGCTGTCTTTTGTGCTGCCATTGAAGGCAGCACACAACCGTACTCGACTGGCTAGTCGTCAGACATCCGTGGATGCTCCAACAACAATGGTTTTTACGACATTGCGACATGGCGGCGTATTTCGCATGTGCTCCATTGCTCTCGTGCGATGGATTCGCGACAAAGAGTACGAACGGTCTCATCTGTTTGAGCGTTGGAAGCAACAAGGCACGGCGACCTCCACTCCAACTCGGACGAATATGGAAAACTAGAAACGGCAACCATCCTGCCGCAGCAAGGCGCAATAGTCGTCGGATCGGACCCGCGCATCGGCAACCTTTGGGTGGTCGGCACGATGAGCGATCGGACCTTGGCCGAAATTGTCGACCGTGCTCAGGTTGCCGAGGCGCCCATCTCGCGCCAACAGGCCAAACGATGCCGGAGGACACTCGACTGCGTTGCGATTAGGCGCATACTGGCCACGTCCGAGGCCGAGGCCGCCTTCAAGGCCCACTTTGACAGCGTCGTTGCCGCCTACGTGTATGGCACGTGCCGAGAGGTCCAACGCCGGACGGGCCTGGCGTTGCCGCGATTTACGTCCATGGATGACGTGACGTTTTTCGTCCTGCCCGACTTTGGGCGCAATCACGGCGTATGGACCGTGGTGGCCAACATCGAATCGCCTCGCCTAGAGGCGCTGCTTGAATCAGCGGGCATATAGCCTTGTTGACGCCGTCTGTGTGCACCCGGCATCAAACTGAAAGAATAGGAATGAAATGTTTATTGTGGACGAAAAGGACGGTTGTGTTTATGCGAAAAATACGTAATAGATGTCGATGGGCACCAACAATGGCGAGAGCATCATATAAATGCCCCACGTCGTGGTCGACCATATGATGTACATGAGTGCGACCGAAGCGCACGAGGCATGCGGTGATGTTCGGCACTCGATCCCGTGGCACTTGTCGTGCAGTGTCCGGTAGCGGAGACTGTCGATGCATCCGTGGTATTCGACAGCCACGCTCGTCACGGCGCGATAGACTACAAAGCCAACGCTGTAGACGCCGTAGCCCACGAGAACCAGAATGACGACCCACACGAGCGCACAGGCGAGCGCCCAGAAGACCCAGCACAAGGCATCTAGCGCCCTTTTCGTTATCGTCGTCTCTGTCGTTGTCGTCGCCTCCGTCGCGCCAGACGGTTGCCGTTGGAGAGCAGGAGGTTGTCGGGGCATCGCAATGTCTGACGGCAGTATTGTTTTGTTCGGTCTGACTTGGCCTTTTTTCTTTGTTGGCGACATTTTGCGATTGGACAGCGTCATCCTTTTGCGCGATTGGCTACCGAAAGAATCTGTTGCCGTTGGTGCGCTGTATGATCGCCTTGCCTCCGCGAAGAAAAAGGGGATAGCAAAAGAAAAAAAGACCGACACCCACGACCGACAATGTCCATTCGCGATTTGCCGCCCGAACTCTTGTCGGCCATCTTGGCTCTTGTCGGCGATCGCGATTTCGTCTCGTGTCTTAAGGCGGCACGACTCTTTCACCTCGACGAGCCAGCGGCATACGAGACCACGAGACTACTCCCACATTTTTCCCGCCGATTGAATGAGTTCCTTTTTTCCCTCTTTTCACCCACAACACCTACACAGAAAGAAAACAAAAAATTGTCATCAACAATCGGCAGGTCGCCGTATAGAGTTGCCGCCTCTAGCGTGCCTTGGTCTCGTAAGAAAAGTGCAAAGAAAAAGCGTCGACGGTTTGGCCGCCTGATGGTGCGCGGCAATGAAAGCCGACGGGTTGCGCGGCACCGGCACGCCTTCGCAGCGCCCGCTCTCTTTGAGGAACAAAAAAAGCAAACCGCCTTGTTTCATTTTTGCGGCACCGATACGCCAAAAAAGAAAATAGCGATACGGCACACGAGCACCTTACCCGGCAAACCAATCAGCGGCCGACGTCGAAAAAACCACACTCTACGCTTGGACGCACCGTCGGGTTTTTTTCAGAGACGCTCATACAAAGAGAGAGAGAGACTAGCGCGTCGCGCCTGCACCGTTGATATCTTTTTCTTTTTGCGCACCTGCACCCATGTCGTCTCGGCGTCTGCTTTTCTCTTGGTCCCTATGCGCGGCGGCGATATGCTGCGTGGTAGCGTGGGCGTTCGCCGTCGGGGCGCTGCCGTGGGTCGACGACCATGCGCGGTGCGTCGCGGTGGCGCTAGTCTTATACGCGGCGCTTTGCCTCGCCAGGCTCGCGCGATTCAGTCTCGTTACTCGCACGCCCAACGATGCCTCGGCAGCCCGACCGCTCTCAACCGAGCCACCCGACGTTGTCGAGGAAACCGAATACACGCGCCGCCGACGGGTGCACGCAACGACCCAACATGACTCGGTCGATCTGACCTGTTTGCCCACGGCAACTCTCGATGCCTGTCCGACCGACGCTGACATTGCTCGCGCCTCGTCGATTCCGGCGCCTCCTCGGCCGCCCCCTTTGTGTCGCGTGCCAGTCTACGTCAACCCCCTTTGGCGGCGACGCCTATGTCGACACGGTGCCGCGCGGTGCGCTGCTGATATGCGATCCGCTCGCCGCGCCCGAGACGGCCGCCAAGTGGCGCGCTCTCAAGGCCTCGGTGATCGACCGCTTTGGCGGAGCGCTCTCTTTTGCCCTCTTGTGCAAGACCCATCCCAACTCGATCGACCGCAAGCGATGGCCCTGTTCCGACAGCGAATCGCTTGGCACAGTTGCCATCGACGACATAGGATCTCATGTGCGCGGCCAGGTCGTCAAGCACGTCGGGCGTTGGACGGCGCACGGATACGCCATCGTCTTTTGCGCAAAACAAAAGACAACGTTCGAGGGCCTATGGGAGCGCGGCACGATGACACATGGTTACTTTCGCGGCTGGTCCCCGTCGAGCCGAACTTTTGCCTGGCTCCGGCGGCCGGGCGGCAAGGTCTTTGGCTGTTTGTGGCACACGACGGCGCCCGACGGCAAATCGCGCGGCCACATCTGCCACTATGTGCCGGCATCTCATCGTGATCGGTTCGCGCGTCGCGGACCCCTGCAGTATAACATCGACACAATGCCGCCTCTGTGCAAGCCGGATGCTGCCGACGGCATTTGTGTCTGTGGTATGACCGGCGGCGATCGCGTCTATCTGGCTCACCGACCCGATCTGGGACAGGTGATCACGCGCCTCAAAATCGCCTCGAACAACGGAGCATGGGGATTCGATACCGACATCATCATCGAGGGGTGCGAGTGGACGGTCATCGAGCCTGTCGAGGATGCCGTCTATCAGGGGCGCGTATTGTATCCGGCCGATCCTCGGTCGCGCCAGTTTGACCAGATGGCCGAATACGTGCTCTCGGGCCGCTCAGAGCAGGCCTTTGGACCGGACCAACAGGCTGCCTTTGTCGCCGCCATCCGCGCCGTCATTGCCGCCAGAGACGGCGCTCTCTAGGTGACCTCTTTTACTTTTTTGTCCCATCGCGATGCATCCGATAGGACAAATAGAGCGATCGATTTCGACTTTGCAACACTGTCTCTTTGTTGTCTGGCTGGCTGGCCGTCGACCAGCATTAGTCGCGACATTCCCGGCCCCCAATGTTACCTTGTTGCCAGCGGCCAAGTATTGCATAGGGCATAGGCAGTGTGCAAACTTCCTCAGCCCATCGGTCTTACACAGAGATTGCACTTTCGCTGCCTTTGATCGAGACCCCCTGCGGCACCACAAGCTGGTAGAGGGCACCGACATTACGCGGTGGTTCTCTTTGGTATGTGGGGGGCGCCTGCAGTCGTGCCACGCCGCGCTCATCGTCAAATACGACCGGCTCGATTCATGGCAGGTCAGCATACTCAACGAAGACGACCTGGCCGATCTGCCACGCAGCGCAGAGGAGAAGCAGCAGCTTCTATTCTACGCGCGCGCCTTTTCTCACTACCGCACGCCCTCCCCCTAATACCCTTGCTGTCGTCACTATGTTGGCTTATGCTACAGTGCTCCACTCTTCGAAACAGGTTGGTACGACCTAGCCGAATCTCTCCGCGTCGATCCGAACGAGCTCACACCAGACGAATGGTTCCGCATCAGCCTTTTGAACGAGTACGAGCTGCGCAAGTATGGGAACGTGCCCACGGAGGTGGCGGCCTACTATCGCACATGGTCTGGGCGGGCAGTGCGACCTTACGTCAAATTCCTTTGTTGAGAAAAAAGAAGCACTCACAACAGAAAATACAGATTGACATTGGCACTGGTGTGCGAGGTCGCAGACCAGCAGAGATAACACAGTAAAAGAGTGCGCGATAACATTAAATCTGTGTGCAAACACCGACAGTTGTTTGCCTCCTGCTTTCCTGGCGCCGATCACCGGTAAACGTCCGCGCCATCGACGCAAAGGCGGGCGCCCCACACGGTTGCGATGGAAATCGAAACACATCACGTAACTCCCGACGGTCACAAGGACAGGAAGCGAGCGCGCATCGCGTCGGAGGCACATGTACTGTGCGAAGCATCCTCGTTCAAGCCCGCCGTTGGAGTATTGCCAGACGAGGTGTTGTTCGAAATCGTACGGAGGTTGCCCTTGGCCGATCTGGCGGCGACGGCCACGA